GCTCGGCCCGGGGCTTCACCCCCCGCCCCGCCCCTCAGCCCACCTTGGTTGCAGGAACACCCCCAGACCCAGCCTCTCCTGTTGTCACGTCCTCCCCACTCACCCAGTAGGGACACTTTACTTCTCTTGCCCCGAGTTTTCGTGCCTTATTCCCCTCTCCACCCCCAACAAAAGCAAGGATGAGGAGGAATAGTGTGGAAGTGGAAAGTAGGAACAGAGAAGCCTGGATTCAAATCTAGCTCTGTCACTTTCTACCATTAAACCTGGGGCCAAGGGCATTTTTCTAGGGACCTCAGTTTCCCTATCTACAAAGGGGCCTCCTAATAGCTGTCTTGCAAGGTCTTTGTGCCAATCAAATGTGATGGTAGTAATAGCTCAGGTACCAAGAGCTTACTCTGCACCAGGAACCATCCTGAACAGTATGTGTGCACATCACTGTGATCATAAGCATTGGTCCAGAGTAGGTGCCTGATAGACATCACTTCCCCTTCCCATCCCAGTGGTCAGGGGAGGGGTGGCCACAGAGGGAGGAGACTGAATCCAAACAATGCCCTAGAGTGGTTTTTCCAGCAGTCACATATGGATGGAGAGTTGGACCATACGGAAAGCTGAGCACCAAAGAACATGCATTCGAATGCTGATGCTGGAGAGGACTCTTGAGAGTCCCTTGGACTGCAACAAGATCCAACCAGTCCATCCTAAAGGAAATCAGTCCTGAATATTCATTGGAAAGACTGAATATTCATTGGAATATTCATTGGAAGCTGAAACTCCAACACTTTGGCCACCTGATGCGAAGAGCCAACTCATTGGAAAAGACCCTGATGCTGGGAAAGATTGAGGGCAAAAGGAGAAGAGGGCAGCAGAGGATGAGATGGTTGATGGCATCACCGACTCAATGGGCATGAGTTTGAGCAAACTCTGGGAGACAGTGGAGGACAGAGGAGCCTGGCGTGCTGCGTCCACGGGGTTGCAAAGAGCCGGACACGACTTAAGAGACTGAACAACAAACAGCACAGGGAGGGGCAGGCAGGTGGAGCGCGCTGCGGTCCCCAAACCCACGTCCCTCCTGTGTGGGGGCTGATCCTACTGTCACTGCCCCTACTGGCCTCTTGGAACACCAGGCAAGGGTCCGTCTGTGCTCACTTCTGGTACTCAGGCACACAGTACCACTGGAGGGGTGAGGAGCAGAGGGGAGGGTCTGGGATCAAGGGACCTCAGCCCTTTCCTTCTGCCCTCTTCTTCTTTGGGTCAGAGAAGCAAGTTTTGAAAGGATGCTAAGGGGGACCTGACTGGCCAGTGAAGGAGCCTGTCACCCCTGACCTCCCTGGAAGAGCCCTGACCCACCTCCCTGTGCTATATAACTCATGGGGCTCACTGTCGGCATCATCACCATTCACTGGTCATCTAATGGGCTCTGTCATTAACTAACCGGGTGCTCTGGAGCAAGTCACTTCCCCTGTCTGAGTCACGGTTCCTTCCCCTTTAAAGTGATGAGGTTGGGACTTCCCTGATGGTCCAGTGGTTAAAACTCCCTCCTTCCACTGGGGGCACAGGTTTGATTCCTGGTAAGGGAACTAAGATCCCACATATTGCCTGGGTCTTGACCAAAAAAAAAAAAAAAAAAAAAAAAAAAAAAAAAAAAAAAAAAAAAAAAAAAAAAAAAANCTGTCTGTGTGACCTCAGGCAAGTGACTTCACCTCTCTAAGCCTGCTTTATAAAGTGAGGCTAAAAATGCCCATTCCTAAGGCTGATTGGGTGGATTCAGTAAGTTCATGCTTGATACATAGAAGATGCTTCAGAAGTGGTGGTTATTATTACTGGGGCCCTGTTCAGCTGGACTGTGGAAATACTCATTCAACTCTTTCCTCAAGAAAGCATCCTAAGACATCCTCTTTGGCTGAGAAATCTTCTCACCAGTCCACTGCACTGATTAACATATTTCTCACAGCTCGGGAAATATCCAGAAATCTCTGTCCGCATCTTCCAAAGTCAGGCCCAGACAGGGGACGTGACTCACTCCAGGGCTCCAGATCCTCCAAGTCTCTGGAGGACTAAGGAGAGGAAATCACCACTGGCCCAGGCACCTGGGATGCAGTCAAGACAAGGTGTTGGATGTGGGCAGTGTCGGCAGCCTGGGGGATGAGGATGGAGGTTTGAGGATGTGCTGGGGGGAGGCAGGCCACAGTTAGCGGCAGAAGGATGTGCTGAGGGGTGGGGGGAGGCAGGCCACAGTCGGCAACAGAAGGATGTACTGGGGAGGGGGCGGAGGCAGGCCACAGTCAGCAGCAGAAGGATGCGCTGGCAGGGGAGGCAGGCCACAGTCGGCAGCAGAAGGCAGTGCAGCGCAGGGTCGTCCTGGCCTCAGGCACCCCAGGCTGGAGTCCGCCCGTCCTTCCCCACACAGAAGCCAGAGCAGACCCTTGAAAGTGTCAGGCACGTCACACGTGGCTCCCCATCTCACGCCAAATAAAAAAGCTCAAGGGGCGGTTTTGTTGTTGCTATTTAGCTGCTCAGTCGTGTCCAGCTCTTTTGTGATCCCACGGACTGCAATCCACCAGGCTCCTCTGTCCATGGGATTTCCCAGGCAAGAATACTGGAGTGGGATCTTCCCGACCAAGAGATCGAACCCAGGTCTCCTGCATTGGCAGGCAGATTCTTTGCCGCTGAGTCCCCAGGGAAGGAGTGGTGGTTTAGCCCCTCCAACGCTCAGCTTCTCTCCATTCACTGCAATGAGCCCACGGGCCCTCCGTATTTCCCTGACAGGCTTCCAGGCCTTAGCACTCTGCTCCCTCTGTCTGAAATGCTCTTACCCTCGGTGTCTGCACGGGACTCCTCCTCCAGAGACCTTCCCTTCCCTCTCTATCTAAAATAGCAGCTCCATCACCTCTATCTCCTCACCCTGTTTTCTTTTTCCTTATGTTTTACCACTACCTGAAATAGTTTATATTTATTCAGTTTACTGTATCTTCCCCCAAGGGACCGTAAGCCCCGTGAGGCAGGGACTCTGCTCAGCTAACTACGGTGTCTCCAGACCCTGACACAGCATCTGGCTCACAGTCAACAATATGTATTTATCAGATGAATGAATGGTTGATTCAATGTATTGACTAAATACTGGTGCCACTATTTTCTAGCTTGGATTGCTTTGGGCAGGTCATTTCATTTCTCTGAAATTTCCAATGCAAAAGATAGGACATGTTCAACTCACAGGGTTATGGCTTCAATGAAATAAAATAATAGAGGCTGAAAGGAACTGACACATAATAGGTGCCCAATAAATGACCACCACAGTCTCCATTATTATCATCAAGGATCTCAGACTCCTCACTTGCTCACGGAGGCCTTGGGCATGTCAAGAGTTCTCTCTGAGCCCCAGTCTGGTCATCGGTCCAACGGTCCCACACAAGGGATATTTGCTGGATGCCAGGGAGGAGGACACGAGGCACCCAGCAGGGGGTCTCACATCCAGTAAGCACTCACCAAGTAGCAGGTACTGCAATCGAAGAGCATCTAGGGTTTCGATACCCACCCCACCACTTATTCTGTGACCTTGGGAAAGCAGCTAAACTTTTCTAAGTCTCCCCACCCATACCATGAGGATAATGATAGTCCCTTCCTCACAAATCATCCTGAAGTCACAATGAAATAAGGCCACTGAAAGGGCTTCACAAAGCCCTCAAGAAGATGTACTTTGAAGGGCAGGAAGGCGAGGGCCCAGGGGTGAAGACAGAACCAAGAGTGGTGTTCGGCCTGAGTTCTGAGGGGGTCACAGAGGGAGCTCCAAAGAAGCCAGGCTCCCTCGGTCCAGGAGGCCTCTGCAGAGAAGACGCTACTGCCCCTGCCCCTGCCCTCTCTGCGGGGCCTAACTGGGGACCCCTTCTGGCCATTCTTGGCAAGGAGCGTTTTCAACCGAGACAGGGGACAGCAGCAGGACCCTAGAAGAGACCCTCAGTCAACCTCAAGCCCACTCCACTTTCCACCCCAAGACTAAGGCAGCCTCTCCCCCACATCCTAGGGCAGGCCCTGGGAGAAAAAAGACCTTGAAGCCAAAGCCCCTGGAGGTTCACGAGGCCAGACACACTCCTCGTGCTCCAGCCCGTGAGGGTCTGCGGAAGAAACACCAGGTCCCCTCCCGACCTGGGCCACCTGATCCCCCCCCCCACCGAAAGGAGAGTGGGGCCCACCAGTGCCCTGTTCAGTCTGTGCCTGGCAAAACCCGGGGGTCAACTCCCCAAATGACTCAATCAATAAGCCTTACTGCAAATTCATGATTTTTTTTTTTTTTTGGATCTGTTTTGATGAATTCTCAGTAACTAAGAGTGGCTGGCACTTAGTAAGTGTTTAATAAATATATGTTGAATCAGTGATTCAATTAATTAATCAATGCATGAAGCAATGAATCATTGCTGTCAAGAGAATTACTGTAAGTGAAGTTCCCAGCAGGCTGTGATTTTTTTGTTTATGTTTTTTGATAAATCCCCAGGGCCTTGAAAAAAGACCCTGATGCTGGCGAAGACTGAGGGCAGGAGGAGAAGGGGTGACAGAGGATGAGATGGTTGAATGGCATCACCAACTCAATGGTCATGAGTTTGAGCAAACTCCGGGAAACAGGGAAGAACAAGGAAGTCTGGCGTGCTGCAGTCCGCGGGGTTGCAAAGAGTCCAACAGGACTTAGTAGGGCTGCGAATACCTGTGGGACATAACTGTGCATGAGAGCACATGTATGTGAACGTGTGACTGAGTCGGCCACTGAATCATGGCTCACTAGAATTTAATCTTTCTGGAAGCAAGGGTTACCATCTGCTTTGATTAAGGCTGCATCCTCAGTGCTTAGACCAGTGCCTGGAGCATAGCCCGTGTGGAATGAATGAATGATAAATGAAATGAATGAGCAAGGCCCCAGCTCTCAGCCCAAGGACCTGAGACCAAGAAGAATGAGACATAGAGGGGCACCTGAGCCCTGCCCCCGGCCACCACTCACCTCGTGGTTTTTTAAATAATTTGTCAATTGTTTTTAATTGTTGAGGCAGTAATACTTGGTTCATGAAACTGCAATATACAGAGAGGTGAAATAAATAGCTTATATATATATAATATATATAATATAGCTGGTTTTAAAATATTCCCTTATTCATTGGTGTACTAGGTCACGTGAGTCACGGAAGGTCGATAGCAGCATCCTCCAGAACTGTGAGTAATGCAGGGTCACCGTGATTGGACGAGGCCGTCTGTCGTCGAGAGTCGAGGCGCCGAGAATTCTGAGGGGCACGCCTTCCCTGCGCGGTGTCTCAGGGCAGCTTGCAGCGGACAATAAATAAATGACTGCAAACCAGAGAGCGATTTTTGTTGGACTCTGGGGCAGGGACAGGGGACTGGGAAAGAGGGGGGGAGTTGGCTAGGTGGGGGAAACACTACTTTCTCTTTTTCTTTTTTGTTTTTGCTTTTTTTTTCTGTCTTTTTTTTTTTTTTGCTTTAAGAACCTTTGGGAAAAAGGACTTTGGTTTCTCCGAGTGTCGCTTTCCTCACTCCAGCCCTCCTCTGGGCCGAGTTCCGAGCTGTCTGTTCCTAGAGACACAAGCACCTGTGTGTTGACAACAGTCCCTTGGTGTGAGTCTTTTGTCATAGGGGTTTCAAGTCAACAATAAAATCCTTATCGCTCCCCTCCCCCAAGAATTTTGGTTCAGTTTTGTCTTCTCTTAAACACATGTACAAAAATAGAAATTCTTCCTTATTTTTCATGTAAAAATATTCCTCTGATTGCAGTTCTCCGTGAGTGTGAGTGTGGGTGGGGCGGCCCAGGGGCATGGCGGCGCCCGCCTAGCCGGGGTGCGTGGGGCGGATCCGCCGGGACCGCTTGGTCACGGTGGTGTACTTGAAGGGCTTCTGCAGCTCGGCCTGTCCCTTGGGGTAGCGCTTCATGAAGTGCACATCCTGCTGGTTCTCGCGGGTCTTGGGGCCCTTCCGCGGCCGCCCCTTCTTGGTGAAGCCCACGTACCAGCCAGAGTACTTGGCCGACATCAGGGCTGTGTAGTTGTTCTCCAGGACCTTCTCAATGAACACACACTCTTTGCTGGTGCCATCAGGCTGCAGGGAGAGAGGAGGAGGAGGTGAGAGAGGAAGGGCAGGTGCAGGGGGCAGAGCTGTGCAGAGAAGGCAGCGGCAGGGGCCAAGGCTTGAGATGGCAAAGTAGAAAGGGCCTGACCCCAAGCTTCGGCCTCAGCAGTTTCACTCCCTGGACCCCTAGAGTGGACTTGACGTAGCGGCCTCTGCATCCTTCCCTGCTCACCAATTAGGTGCCAGCTTCCCATTACCATTCAGGGATCCCTTTCTTTTCCACTCCCACGATAGAACCAGGGGCTTCTACCAGAACAAAATATTCAGATCTGACCAATTAAAATATTATTTCCTGTGACTGGCGCAGAGCACAGCACATGGCCTGAGTCATCCAGTCAGCAGTCCTCAAGATCCTGTTATAAATAATCCCCCCAAACATAGGCCAGTTTAAACTTGGGAAACAGGGAAGGCTGAAACAAAGGCAGCCTCTGTACCCCCATGAGGGGAAATGTTGCCTGACAACAAGGTCAGCTTGGAGGAAGAAAGCCAAGAGGAAGAGAATGAAAGAAACCAAGTCCTCCTCACATCTTTCCATTTCTGGACCTACCAAGCTATATGTGAAGTTCAAGTTACCTCACTGTTATGTGGGCCAATAATATCTCATTTCCTTTAGAACAGCTGAGACTGTGTTCTATCACATGCAACATAAAGAAGCCCCAACTCATGTGCACTAAACCTGAGACCAAGTTAACTGCCTACTCAACTGCCATTCAACTCCACTGTTACAGAGTTAAACATAAGTTACATTTAATGTGGGGTGTGGTACATCTTAATGTTTGTTGTGAAGAGGGGTGGAAGCCTCTAAAAATAAGAGCTTTGGCATGACCAAACTTCAAAGCCTATACCCATGGTTCTAAGATTTTAGGGTCCCAGGTGAACTCCCTGGGAGACTATGCCAGGCAAGGAGCACGAGATTCATAGTCAGACGTTGAATCAACTCACACTTCCTTATGTGACCTCAGGCTAGTTAATTTCATTCTCTAAACTTTGGATTCCTTGTCTGGACCAAACACGGAAAATGACTCCTACATCATAGAGATGTTATGAGGAATGATGCTTATAAATGAGCCAGGCACACAGTAGGAACTTGTTACATTATTTCTGAAGAGCAGGTGGTTCGGAAGGTCTGACCTCCCTCCTTGGATCTGAACAAAAGGAGGTGGAAAGCAGGCTTTGAATCTCCTCCTTGAAAAAGCCGAATTGCTCGGAGTGGAAGAGTGAGAAACACACAAAGTTGGAAGGCCAGAATTAGCAGCACTCGAGTTTCCAACTAACATCTCCAAATTTAGGCCGGGCCCACTCCTCGTTACAGACGGGTGCCCGGCCAAGTTGGAAGCCCAGCGGTCTGGCTGTGTGTGGAGACTGAGGTGCAAGTTCCAGCCTTTTGTTTGAAGTGGAAAACAGGCTGGAGCTTCCAGGAACGTTCACCTTTGAGCGGAGGGCAAGCTTGGGCCCTGCAGACAAAGTGCTGAACTTTGCAGAAAGGGACAGGCAGGGTAAGAAAACATTCTCTGGAGGAGAGATCTTTCGAGGAGGCTGCAGAGTATACATGGGGTGGGCCTGGGAGAAGAGCGCAGGACCCAGAGGACATTATGCGTTGAGTGAGCAGAGAGGGCCTACTGTGAGGAAGCCGGGGCATATGTGCAAGGGGGATAAAAAGGAGTGGGCTCTGGCCTCCCCGTGGATAATTCTGGAAGCTGCCTATCCAACCTGAGTCCAGGTCCCTTGGATGGTTTTGATGGAACAGTCAGAGAAAACTGAATAAAGGCTATACTATGTCTGGTTCCCCATCTTAGAATATCTGTCTGGAAAACTGCTTTCAACCTTGAAGAGCCAGTTCAGTAACCACCTCCTCCAGGAAGCCTTCCCTGACTGCCATCTAGCTCTCTGGGTATTTCCTCCTCTTCCTTCAAGACTCCATTTGAGCACTGTGTGTGTTAGTTGCTCAGCTGTGTCCAACTCTTTGCGACCCCATGGACTGTAGCCTGCCAGGCTCCTCTGTCCATGGGATTTTCCAGGCAAGAATACTGGAGTGGGTTGCCATTCCTTTCTNCAGGAAGGGTATGGAAGAGTGGGTGCTGCTGCTGTCTAATCCCAGACAGGCCCATGGGCAGGAAGGGTATGGAAGAGTGGGTGCTGCTGCTGTCTAATCCCAGACAGGCCCATGGGCAGGAAGGGTGTGGAAGAGTGGGTGCTGCTGCTGTCTAATCCCAGACAGGCCCATGGGCAGGAAGGGTATGGAAGAGTGGGTGCTGCCCAGCAACACACCTCAGGTCCCCCAGGACCACAGAGCTACCATGCTCATGAAGCAGTGATTTGGAGGTTCAAGCGCCAGCACAGTGCCTGGCACATATGCTCTTGCCTGGGTTGAGGATCTGGGCTTCAGGCTGAGGTTCTGACACTCCAGAGGTCAGGAGCCCTTGGGAGGAGCCATAGGGCCTATAACAGTTCCCACCTGAACTCAGACTCAGTAGATAAGAAGCTAATGGTAGGCCGCCCTGGGGCCTGACCCTTGCCTTTCTCCTCACCACCTCTATGACCCTGCTTATGGCCTGCAGAGATTTTTAAAAAACACATGTGCATGGGCCTCACCCCCCAAATTGCTGACTCAATTGGTTCAGGCAAGGCAGATCCACCAATATTTAAAGAGTAACGGAACAGCCCATCCCAGGACCTTGGTGATTTAGTAGAATTTGATCATCTCTGGAAATCTACCACCTCCAACCTCCTTCTTTCCAAACTGGAGTCCTATTCCTTCTGTTTGGTCTGAAGACTGAATCCTGATGACATCACTTGGCCCCTGGATTTAGTTTTCCTTGAAATCAGGACTACCCCCTGGATGTTTTTAGTTACCTAGACAAAAAAAAAAAAGTCTTTTTTTTTTTTGCTTAAAGGCATTTTGAATTAGGTTTCAGTCACATTCAACCAAAGCAGTCTTCACAAACGTGCAGTGGGCAAGGGACCCCCTGCTCTGAATGGGTCTGGGGCCCTTTGTTGCCCCAAAGGGGACATACCAATGATCGCACAGGAGGAGACAGATGAGAAAAATCCACCTGGGTTGAATCTCCAGAGACGGCGAACAACTACTTAGCACACAGCGCTTGACATTCAACAGCTCTTTTATGGATTGAGAGGAAGTACTATCTCCTAGGTCAGGTGGAGGTGGGGTCCAGAGAGGTGGCAAGGAGAAGGGGGCTACTTCTCTCTCAGGGGCTGGGGAGAAGAGCTCTGGCGTAGGATCAGTATGACGCAGCAGAGAGAGAAGCAAGGCCAAGGTTCTGGAGCATCGGCAGAGGCTCTCTTGGGGTTTCAGTGATGTGTCCGGCTGTGGCCAGATACGTAGAAAATTGACACCCAAGGTCAAGACCATCCAAGCAAGCTATCCTGTTGAGCCAAAGGAGGCAGAGCCTGAGTTGAGGTCAGGGGTTCCCACAGGTGAAGAACCTGACTTTCAAGGGGAATGTAGCTCATGTTTAACAAGTAAGTGCCTACTCAGTGTCAGGATTATCTTCCCATTTTACAAGTGAGGACACTGAGGCTCAATGAGGTCAAAGCACTTAGATTCCAGGTCTGACGTGGCTAATTCTGGCTGTAGGTTGAGTCAATTCTCAAAAGGTAAGCACCACATTTCTATTTCTCTGGTATCCTTTGAGCAGGTATAAGAAGCATGATGGATGGATCCAGAATTGGCCCTCAGAGCCGCTAGCCTGGTGGGGGATGCGAGCACAGAAACAGCCAGCCAACCCAGGTGAGCAGACTGCAGAGAGAGGGATGTGTGAGTAGCCGTGGGCTCCAGGTGGGTGTGCTGACTGGGCGGTCAGTGGAGCCAGAGATCATGAAAGGATGAGCCAAGACTCAGGGTGGATGGGCGAGGGAAAGGCTGTCCTGGCAGAGGGAACTGCCTGCACACAGCCTGATGCCCCATCCCAGCAAGGAGTGGGGGCTGGCTGGGCCATGTGTCTGTGACATAAGGAGCACCAGGGTGGGCAGGCTCTCCCCAAGGAGGGCAGCCTTTCTTGGGTAGAAGGTGAGGGCCTGAGGGCTGGTTCTGGCTGAGCTGCGGGTGGAGAGGAGGGGCGAGCTTTAGAAAGCTCTGCTTTAGAAAGCTGAGCGTGGGCATCGGGGAAAGGCCCGGAGGTGGAGCCCGAGGCAGAGGAGGAACACTATTCCGGAGAAGGGGTGCGGCAGGACAGAGGCAGGAGTTAGGGCAGGGCCAGACACAGGCCCGCCATCAAGAGTAACCCCGGGACCAGGTCTGATCGGCTGCCGACGACCTGTGACAGAACCGACACCAAGGACCCGGGGCTGCCAACTGCAGGACCCAGAGAGCGAGGGCGCTGGGCTGGGTAGGGGCCAACAGGGGGACCCGCCCGGGCCGAGTCGGGACAGGTGGATGGGCGGCCGGACGCCCGCGGAGCCTCCGCGGCCAGCCCGGGAGCCACGAGGGGAATTTGGGGCGGGGGACCCAAAGGGGCTACAAGCAAGGGGGGAGGGAAGCGGAGCGCGGGGCGGGCCTCGCCGCCAGCTGAACCGGCCCCAATATTAATGACTGGAGAGAGGGCGAGGGGCAGGAAATCGGAGCCGGCTCCTGTGGAAGCGGTGACTCAGCGGCCAGCCGGCGGGCGGGCGGCGGGGAGCGGCCCGAGGGGACGGGGCTGTTCTTTTGACCCCAGCACGGCCCTCCTGGGGTCAAGATGCCGGGAACCACGCAGCCGGGGAGGGAGGGGCACGCGGGCAGTGGGCGCTGCGGCGGGCTGCAGCGTGGCCCGCCTTTAAACAGGAAAAAAGGGGGCGGGGCGGGGGAGGCGAGCCCACAACTGCAAGCAGGTTGGGCCTGGGAGGCGGCCCAGGCGGGCGGGAGAACAAAGCGCCCGACGCGGGGCTGGCCGCGCCGCCTCAGGAAACGCACAGCCAGGCCAGGGGACCCGGCGCCCGGCCCGCCCGCCGCCCCTGCCCCGGACCCCTAGCTGGCCGGCCGCGGACGCGGTGAGTGAGTCCGCGGAAAGTGAATCACTAATTAAAACCACTCCTAGGCATCCCGGGGCGAGGTACGGATTACTATTCTGTTGCTCTTTGAGAAGCTCCAGCTGGAATCCTTGCCTTCTAAACTGGGCTTTGAAGCCCGCCAAGCTCTAGCCCGTGACCTGGGAAAAGTGCCCGGACACGGCCAAGCCTCAGCTTTTCCATCTATGAAATGGGAATGGTGGAAGCCTGTTCTTCCCCGACCCACCTCACGGGATTATTTTGAAGCATTTTTTTTGCTTAGTGCCTGGCAGAAAGTAGGTGCTCAATTAACAGAGGCTATTGGTACCCTTGTTATTAACAAATAATCAGAGACACTCTCCTGGCTTAGGTCTCTGGCCTGTCATCCTCTCCCTAGGATATGGAGGGGAGAGGGGAAGAGGGATAAGAATTGCAAGATTCGGGGAGTCAAAGCCATGGCTTAAACAGAAATTGAAGTCATGCTTCCTTCCCCCTCACCCCAACAAGGTGTAATAAATGCAGATCATCACAGACGGCCTTGCCTCAAGGAGAAGCAGCCAGCCTCTTTGGAATCTGGGTGTACCCTCTACCTTCCACTCCAGCTGGCCAGCAGAAGCCACCCCCTCATTATACAAGTTGGCCAGGGTGTGAGTAGGGTCCCTGCAGAGAGAAGGGAACATGGAGCATGAATCCACTCTAGAGCATCCAAAGGAAGCAAGTGTGTGAACTTCACAAACAAGGACACCCAGGCCAAAAGGGGGAGCAGCATCAAAATGCAGCTCAGTGGAGGTTCAGAATCCCTGGCACATCGGTCCACCCCACCCATATCCTACCCCCACCCTAGTTTGTTGCATGCGTGTTCCAAAGTAATAAAACCTTCCTGAAATGCTAGAATCACAAGGCTGAAGAGGCTGCTGGGTTCCAGAGGTGTGGCTTTGGGGAGTCATAAACCCCCTGTGATTATTAAAACAACGCTGCAGCCCCAGGCCCTGGCCCACTGGGTCCCTGCTGCCAGACATCAGGTACATTCAGACTGGGAGCCTCAGACCCCTGGGGGGTTCTCCCACTGCCAAGCAAGCCAGAGCTCCACGTCCACCAGGAGAGACCGGGGCCCTACATACTCCCCAAAGTCAAAGCCACAGTCTGGCAGGCTGCAGGTGAGGGGACAGAGAAGTGGGGGTGATGAAGAGATCTCACAATGGGAGTCTCTCTCTCATACACATACACATTCATGGGACCTCTTTCCCATTTAGGGCTAATGGGGCCCAGGAGGCACTGCTCCAGCCCCCCTGGGTTGCTGGGGGACCCACCCAAGTCCCAGACCACCACTTACCTTCCCCACAAGCTTGCCTTTCCGGTTCATACACAGGTAGAACTCCGTCTCCTTGCCCTTGATCCGGACTTGACTACCGAAGGTGTCTGTCTCCACTAGGAGCTGGGCTTCGAAAGGCAGAAGGAGAACAAGACACATTTTTTTACCAGGGGCAGTGGCTGGCCTGAAGACTCAGCAACATGATCCCTGACACTGACCTTGCCCTCGGACCTCCCACTGCCCCCAGAATCAAGTATGGGGGGGGGGTTGCTTCTGACAGGTCTCTCTGGAGCATGTGCCTCTCAGGCAGGGAGAAAAGGTCTCTGACACCTGTTCCCAACTCCCGGAGTCTCTGGACTCCACTGGTGACCCAGATCACTCCCGGTGGCTAAAGACCAGTGTGACTTCTGCCCTCATCACCCACCTTCCCCTGCCCCTCAAGTCCCTTCCCCAATGCAGGACACACAACCACACAAATAACCCCAAAGAAGCAGCAGTCTCTGGACTGAGCGGTCAGACATTCAGATGCCTATGAGCTCACACAGGCATGCACAATGCGTGCACACACACACACACACACACACACAATACATGCACACGAGTCTTGCCTTGTGGAATGCTAAGCTACTTCCTCCAAAATTTAGGTCAGAAGCCCCTTCCTCCAGGACAAACATCTGGGTGTCCACTCCCTGATGGGGATATGAGAGAGGGAGTGCCCTGGCTGCTTGAAATGGGGAAATGTCTGGAAAGGGTAATTTAAGGCCCCAGGGAAAGGAGGCTGTCAGTATAATATTTCACTTTCCTCAGTCAAGGCCACCAAGACTTGGGGACTTCCCTGGCAGTCCAGTGGTTAACACTCCATGCTTCCAGTGCAGGGGGCCATGGGTTCAATCCCTGGTTGGGGAACTAAGATCCCACATGTCACATGCCACACAGTGTAGATAGGAAAAAAAAAAAAAGGCCCCCAAGGCTGAAGTATAGCTAACTCCCAGGAGCCTGGAAGTCCCAATCAGAACCCAGTACCCTCTGGTCTGGAATGGGAGACCTCATGTTAAACCCCCATACTCCACAAAAACATGGGGTGTCCCAGGTGATCCTGGATGGGGCAGCCAGAGCTGATCCCCCAAAGCCTGACTAAACAAGAACATCTAGTGGCCGAAGGGTGGCTGTCTCTTGATTAATCGTACTGTAAGACTGCTCCCTGTCCCTCAGCCACTTCACATTTTCTCCCCAGGAGGATGCTGTATGACTTTGGCAGGTCACATGCCCTCTCTGAACCTGAATCCCAGTGCCTGGATTTCCCCACCACCTCCATCCCCCTTCTTTGCCTCTGACCCCCTATTCTCACCCTCCCTCTCCTGACCCTTTGCTTCCCAACACCTGCCCCTCCCTCACCCACAAAATTTTAATTTCAATGACAAGGGACTTGCTTCTCCATAACAAAATCATAGTCCTAAATACAGTATCCTTGGAGCCACAAACAGTGTACCTCAGTGCCCCTAAAATACAAGAGGTATGATTTTAATAAAAAAATTTTTAAATATACACCCTGGTGCCCTGCTGTGAAAATTAAAACCATCTGGAACTCAGGATTTCCAATAATTAATCTAGCCCTCCTTTGACACCACTACTAATTAAAATGTGATACCCACCTTTCCAAGGAAAAAAAGAAGAATTTACATAAAATTTAAAGATCTAACAAGAATTTAGTAATTCTAGGAACAAAGGTGGGGGCACATTCTTCTCTCTACCTTCCCCCATCCCTAGTAAACACTGAGTTGAGAATATTAGCGAACACTGAGATCGGGGGTTATAAGCCCTTCATGCTCCCTGCTCCCCTAAATCCAAACTCCCTGTAACTCTCTTGTTAGCTTAGTCCCTGGGAACCAAGGGTCAAACATCACAGCACTTCTGAGACTAGCTTTCAGCATCCGCTCACAAACTCAGGCCCCACATGGGATGGGGGTTGTTAGGGGTCAGGGGAGTCCCCAATCCCCAGGAGCTTCTGACAAAGGCAGCGTGTGCAAGAGGAAAGGTGAGAGCTTTGAAATGCACATGTATGCATATGACTCCCTAGCTCCACTTGCCAGTGTATGACCCTGGGCCTCAGGTTCTTCATCTGTAAAATGGGGGTGGTCATCCCTCATCTTTAACACCCAATGTGAGGGTTATATAAAATGATGCTGTTCGCGGAGGCTAGGTAGGGGAAACTCAGTAACTGTTCCTTAAGTTTCCTAATAACTGCAAAATAAACCCATTTACCCAGAAAAAACAAAAAGTAGTGGAAAAGAAATCTGGTGTGTATAAAAAGGCAGAGGGGAAGCAGAACTTGCCTCTCCAAGGCGGGCCTTCAGTCCTGAACTTTCTCAGCATCCTCCAGGGTCAGAAGATGCCTTAGGCAGGGATTTACAGAGCCTTGCCATCCTGGGGGGGTGACCTAGAGTAAGCCACACACCCCATCTGAGCCCCTAGTTTCCTTCCCTATGCAGTGGGAGTGGGGCCTGGCTGTTCTGATTGTCTCTGGGACTGGAGAGAGGTAGGGATGGGAAATCATAAAGAGTGGGTGAGGCCACAGGGCTGAGGCCAGGCAGCCCCAAGCACGTCCGAGAGGAAGACTGCTCTGCCCTCTCCCGGCACCAGCCTGGGCCCCTGTCTTCAGAGCAGCTCCTACTGCACGCTGGATCTGACGCCCCTGTGAGCCTGCCAAAGTCACACATCCCAGCGAGGTTAGGTGCCTTTGTCCCCCTTTTACAGTGTAGGAGACTGAGGTTCCGAGAAGCAAGCCTTCCCAGGTGGGGAGGGGGGTGGGGGGGGGAGTTGACATCCAGTCTGGCTGGCTCTCTTCCTGTTGGGGCCTGGGTCCCAGAGGAGGGCCCCCAGCCCCAGGGAGACTTGGCTCAAAACACAGCCCCCGCCTCTCATTAACCACAGCCCATCTGAGGAAGCCCTGGCCTCTGCCTGAGCCGTCCAGGGGCCTGGGGCTGGGGCTGGACGGCACCCCACCCCCACCAGCCCAGCCGCCCCCACCCCAGCATGGGGATGGTCTGCACCGGCCACTGCACCCTGGGGAGCCAGAAGTCTGTTCTTCCCCGACCGCAGCAAGCCACGGAGTGACCTAGACTCCACTCAGCACATGACATAATGAGGAGGGAGCCGGGCCAAGATTATGTAAAGTCTTTGGGGAGTAATAGCAGCAGCAGTTCTCAGAAAAAGAGAAAGAGAGACTCCACCCACCCAGACCAGGTTTGCCCCAGAGCCTGCCTGGTCCTCAGCATCACGCTTCCCTGTCTCATGACCTAAGACCTAAGCCCCCAAGACGCACCTCTCAGGAGCCAGAAACCTCATCTCCACTCGCTTTGATTCTCAGGCCTGTCCCAGGCCAGGCAGGAGTGATCAGTGGTATCATCTTGCTGCTCACCACCCTGGCATCCCCTCCTCCACTCTGCTACTCTTGCCCCCGGCAGTCTCTCCTCTGCAGATCAGCCAGAAGGATCCTTACAAAATGAACGTGAATTGTGCCTCTCCCCTGCTAGAGCCTCAAATGGATCTCCATGCTTACACGCTCAGTCGCTCAGTCGTGTCTGACTCTCTGCAGCCCCGGGGACTGCAGCCCACCAGGCTCCTCTCTCCATGGGATTTTCCAGGCAAGAATGCTAGAATGGATTGCCATTTCCTGCTCCAGGGGATCTTCCTGACCCAGGGATCAAACCCGGGTCTCTTGCGTTGGCAGGCAGATTCTTCACCACTGTGCCACCTCACCAACAATCCAGACCCTTCAAGGGGACCCCTGAGAGGTACACAGTCTGGCCCCTGCTGCCCGCCCCTGTCTCCCACCCTCACTCACAGCCCTCCAGCCACACAAGCCTCCTTGCTTTTCCTGCCCTGACTCACCCGGTACACTCCCGCCTCAGGGCCTCCACACTCTTCCTCCGCCTGGCGATTGCTTTGCCCAGAGTTTCCCACAGTGGCTCCTCATCTCCTAGACTGACATCTCAACTCAGATGTCACCTCCTCAGAGAGGAGGCTACAGCCCATGGGGTCACAAAAAGCCAGACATGACTGAGCGACTAACACTCACAGGCTATTCATACTTACCTCATCAAGCCCGTTACATACTCACTAAAATTTACTTATTGGTCATTTACCATAAGCCAAGTGTGGGCTAGGTGCCGGAAACCACAGTGGTGGATGAGAGAGTCAAGGGCCTGCCCTCAAGAAGCTTACCTTCCGGTGGGTGGAGACAGGTGCGGAAAAGGCAGCAAATAAGAGAAGATAGTGTGGAGGAGAGCTCGGAGGAGAAGGGAGTGGGGATGGCAGGAGCTGGGCTGGGAGGGCAGTGTGACCAGGGAAGGAGGCGACATCTCGGACCCCGTGCCTCTGAGCCTCAGGGAAGCCCCAAGTATGCATAATGCCACTTAAAAGTTAAAGCAATGAAGATTCAGACAGGTAAAGGACTTGCTCAAGGGTATCCAGCTGGCAAGAGCAGAGGAGAAGTGCAAATTCAGCGTCTGATCCCACCATCAATGCCTTTAGCAACTCTGCTCCCCACCAGTGTTACTCCTGCCTCTCACTGGAGCTCTGAGCTCCCCCAGTCACCCACTCCCAGCCTCAGAGTTACTATCAGATATTCTGACAATGGGAGAAAGTCCTATCCCTCTCTGGGCCAGGACTAGATGACTTCCTTTCAGTACTGCCCCTCTGGGAAGCATCAGTAACTTATATTTATTTAGAGCCTATCATATGCTGGTCACCATTCTACACTATACACGTTATCTCAATCCTTATGACAATCCCAGGAGATTAGAACTATTTTTTTTATTACCCCATTTTACAGGTGAGAAAATAGAGCCCCAAGGTCACACAATGGTGGAGTTAAAACCCAGGCAGGCTAACCTAGAAGTCTGGGTCTTAGCCTGTCTCCACTTTAGGTCTTTTCCTCCATGCTAGTCCCTTTCTGGGGAGGTTAGTGAATGAACAGGGAGGGTCTCTGCCTTCACTTCACCTTCCTGAGGCAGAAGTCTGTGGGTCAAGATGCCCAAAGAGCCAACAGTTGGGGCCCATCCCTCCCCAGCTCCATTTCCAAACGACCTTGAGGCAGGGAAGGGTACTAGCAGTCACCCTGAGGAAA